GGGATAGAGAGAGAGAGAAAGGAAAGGGGAAGGAGGGAGTAGAGAATCATCTCCCTGGTGGTGTCATCTCCAGGCTGTGGTGCCAGTGCAGCTGGAGCTGCAGTGGTCTGGGGATGCCGCCAGACCTGCTACAAAATACTTTGGAGATTCAAAGCATAACCTTGGAGATGCGGGAGGTGCTCGGAGAGTGACAGAAGCCCAGGAGAAGGGGTCTGTAATCAAAAAGAGCACTCATGGAATATTGGAGAGCAGTGAGGAAGCTGAGGATGGAAATATGGATCTTGGTCATTTGCATTGATCTGTTACCTGCGGTGGTGTCTAAAAGAGGGAATCGTTTGGAAATCCCTCAACTGAGTTTCATTTGCCTCAGTCGGTGGGTTGAGTTAAATAGCTGTTCTAGCTCACAGTTTTCAAACCTGTCACATATGTCCTGCCCTGAGGCACTGTGCCTTGAGTTGGGAGTCACCTCCCTGTGCTGGCAGAGCTGTAACTCTGCTCTGGGCACCTCTCTGGTGCTGGGGCAGTGGCGCTGGAGCATGGGGCAGGGTTGCACTGCACGCTTCATGATGTCCTTGCTCCAGCCCCTGCAGTGTTGGGGGTGGTGGATGAAGCTGCCGATTGGGAGCTGTGGTTTTGAGGTTGAAGGTGTTTAGTAGAAAAATCAGAGAAATGAGTGAATGTGTGGCCTAGCTGTAGTGTTCTTACACTCTTCCCTGGGCATTTGCTGTTGGAGGTGATAAGATTTGCCTGGAAGCTGAATGGGCAAGAACATGCCAGGCTTGTGTGCTGCTTGGACAATGGCTGGGGTGGGAACCACATGGGACAGCCTTTGAATCAGCTATTATAACTTACCTACTAGAAAAGTTGCCATTCTATACTTTTCATTTAAGGACAGGATAAATGGCTTTCTGTATTGCAGGCTTCAAGATCTTTACTTCTTTAAGTCTGGATTACAGCTGAGCTTTTAATTTGATTGCATTTCTGTCAAATACTTGGCTTGGTGTTGAGACTATCAGTTTCTGGTTTCTCTTTCTTGACAGACACTGCAGCAATCCATGCTCTGGCGTGTCCCTCGCAGCCTCTGGTTGATCTCCATCTAGAAGACAGTCAAATGAAAAGCTTACAGTTGCTCCTTATCTTTTTGGGCAGAGTGAGAGAATAGTGAGCTGGGTAGTTTTTGCAGCGAGGGTCAGTGTCCGTCTTCCTTTCTGCTGTGTGACCCAACCTATGAAAGCCTTGCTTAGCTCTTTCTCCTCAAAGATTTGGGAGGTAGTGGCCGTGGCAGTTGGGTAATCCCTTACAAAGGGGTGGGGGATGACATCTCCCTTCACTACAGGTGAAATGGCAATGGAAGAGCACCTCCTTGATAGAGAAAACAACCACTATTGGCCTGCCCTTTGCGTTTTCTGCATAGGGTTTCTTCCGTCATCTTTGTTGTAGATGCTGGAAGGCACTCAAAAGGCAAGTAAAGCAGTCCACGTATTTATGGTGTGTTTATAGGAGAGTTAACTACTTCTACTCTGTCTGTGCTCTATCTGCAAGGTCTTACTTGTTTGGGGCTTAGTGGTGTGGGGCTGTTTGCGTTAGGAAGAGCTCCAGTTCCCCTCCAGAAAATAAAGGAGATTGAAGATTGTTCTGTTCAGGGGAGAGCAAGTTGTTAAACATTGGTAGCCTTTCTGAAAGACTGTGTGTTCAGGCTGGCCCATCCCATACAATTTCTGGTCATTTTTTAGTTGCTCCTCTCAAGATACTTCTTTCAGGTTCATAGTAGGTAGATACTGCAAGAATTTTGTACTTGTCAAAGCACTGATCTCAAGGGTGGAATCAAAGGAGAGCCAGCAGCAGACTTGAGGCCATTTCTCCTGAGAGGAAAGTTGTCTGATTTCAATTCCAAAAGTCACAGAAAGAAGAAAGAAAAAAAAAAAAAAAAGGTGGGGTTCCCGTTAATATTTAAGAACTATCTAAGCACATTTACTGATAGCTCCTCCAATGAGTTACTTATTGCTCTAACACAACAAACACAAGCAGCACTATGAACCTAATAATATTCCTTCCTAGTTAAAAAAAAAATAGTTCTTCATGTTTTCATAGTGACAGCATCCCATAAAGTCAAGCAGGAGGACTTGGTGACATTCAGAACCCAGAGCATAGCAGCTCCTGGCACCTCTGCTCCAGCATGACCTGGGCTTTTAGAAGCACCTGGATGGCTGACTCGGGAACTGTAGGGCCTTCACTTCACTCAAGCAATTCTGCTATAGACAGGCTTGCTACCCAGGACCATCCTACGAAAAGCTTGCTTTTGGTGTGGAACTGTACTGCTGGTCTAGGTGGGATGTTTAAAACCTGAATTTAGCAACGTGCTTACTGATTCTGTATAGATTAAATTGTGGTTCTGGTGTTACACTGGGAGTCTTAATTGGGGTCGAGTGTCTGCTGCCTTTGTACGCTGCGTATTGCATCTTGAGTCTCGCTGTGAGGAAATCGTATGGCGTGCGTCACTTTTTAGGAGGCGCATTGAAACAAATGAACGCTTTCTTTCCACTAAACAAAAGGAGTGTCTTCCTTGGAAATTACAGTAGTCCTCTTTATCCTAAGGCAAGATCTAGGACAGGCTGTCACGGTCCTTCTCATGCTTTTAGTACGATTGTTTAGCCAGTTTCAAAAGAATACGGAGTCTCTGGTTGTGTATGTTCAGTTTCTAGCTTGATCGGTCTGTGATGAGAGATCCTGGCATATCAGGTTCTGTATGATGGTTGTGTGGGATTTAGTGGTACTTTGGTCTTTTTAGTGTTTACGTACTCACTTGAAAATGAAAGATAAAGTTCAGAACTGAAGGGATGATAGAATGAATTTGAATGGCATATAAACCACTGTCACTTTTTAAAGTTTACAAGAAGAGAGGGTAGTAGTGCATCTTTAAAGCTTGTGGGACATGCACCTCTTTTTGAAATGTGTTAGGGAGGAGGTGTGTTTTTTGTTTCTGAAATACTGTTCAGTTTGGTAAGGTGTATTTTTGTGGGTGAGAAGTAGGGGAAGTATTTTGTCCACAATCTTACTTTTGTTTAAAAGATAATATTTAATATGAGTACTGGCATTGGAGCATCATATTTAACTTCGGCTAGTATGATCTTCGAGTAAGCACAGGGCCTGAAGTTAATTCATGCTATGCAGTGCTCAGGTATCTGCCTTTAGGATCTAAGAGGCAATGTTAACTTCATATTCAAAAGTTCAGGGAACAAATATTATATGTTGCCTTTGGGGTACTTTGGGGTTGTTTTTTTTTTTGCTTCGCTATCCATTGCACCACTTCTTACAACTTCATGCCTTGTCACATGGAAAGATTCATTGTGGAGCAAATACTCTCACGGTAAACAGGAGACTTTCGAGATTTTAAAAAATAAATTCAAGAAGGTTTTCTCCAGAACTAGGCTATTGCTATGTTTTGCGAATAATTGTCCCGTTAGCTTACGGTGCACCTTAATGAGCAGGAAGTGAATGTTTCCAGAATCACTCTGAAATGCAGTAGGTGGCTTGTCTAACGTCCACCTGCCTCCGCAGGCATCAGAAGTATGCTGTATGTTCTCCTCTAAGATACTGCTTTTTTTAGCCATGAGCTAATCATACAAAAAAATCAGATATAGCAAGGGGGTAATATTTTATTTGACCAATTACATCAAATAATGGCGGGGGGGGGGGGGGGGGGGGGGGGGCGTTCTCCAGGTTTCTTATGTGCCTTAAAGCTTGCTGGTTTTTCTCCCCTTTAAATTTTAGTTGGTCAGGTAAGAGATTTAGTTAAAGAAACAATTTGAGCACTGGGAGTGTCAAAAAGGTCATACTTGGCCAGTCCAGACTAGTTTTCTGTCTCCATGTGTGTCTATGAGCAAATACTTACAGAAAATACCAGAGCACGTGTAGAGTGACATTGACCTGGGCGTATTCTTCCAGCTTCAAGTGACTGGTTGTTCATTAATTTCAGAGCTGTTGATGGATCTGTTTCTGTATCTCTTTCTATTTCTGGCCTTTACAGCATCTTGTGGTAATTAGGAGCTGTAGGCATGGGTATGTGGTCCAAATTCCAACTTTTAACCCATTACCTGATAATTTCACTCTGCTTTAATCCTTGTGTTTGCTAAATAATGAATAATCATTTCATACCTATTCACCAGTCACATTACTGGTGACTTTATATATCCTTTCATCACTTGTTTTCCAAGTTTCTAGTATCTTTTTGCAAAGAAGAGCAAGAAGGGTAGATTCCACTGATACTTTTCTCATTCTTCCATAGCTTTTATGAGTAGGGATGCCCACAGCTACTTCCAGGATTCAGGAGCAGTGCTTTCTGTCATAGTGCATCCATTGTATATTTAAATGTGTGTCTAGATAGTAGGTTATTAACAAGTTAAGTATAAAAATGAAAAGTGGTATTTTGTACATGGTTTTATTTGGATGAAGTGTGTGATGATACAGCAGCTAAGACTTGATGGAGCAGTTAAAGCTTACAGGAGGTCTGTAATCATGTAAAACTATCAGCGTATATTACAAATTTGAAGTTCAGAATATAACTCTATGCAAAACCACTTTTCTTCGTTAACTTGATTTTAAAGCTGGCTGTCTCTCCCCCCTCTATCATCTATAGCATTCAATGCATGCTAACAATTACAGTTGCTGCAGCTTGCTTGGGAGATTACCATTTAAAACCAGAGTGAATAGACAGCATTACGAAATGGAGAGAAAAAAGGAGCAATGGTCAAATATTTAAACCTTTATAAAGAAAATAAGCTGTGTTCCAAGATCAGTAGTTAGGAAAAAAGTTACTTAAAATGGGAATTAGAGGTAAAACATCCTAAAGAATATGCCTCACCCAAACCTTGAAGTATCTAATACTACACTTGTTAAAAACAACTGGCCCTTTTGCAATTTGTAGTGCGATTCTGTTATAAGACTAGTAAATTGTATTATTTTTACAGCTTCAAGAAACTCATATAAACACGTGAGAGAAGATGACAAGATCTAGATCAAGATCACCACGATGGAAACCAAGGTAAATATTTATCTATAACTTGTGTTCTGAAATGTAGCTCTATATAAGGATTTATAATTAGGACTTAAAACTTGCATAAAAGAAAGAAAATTGCATCCAGAATTGCAATTTGTAAAGTGTATTTTATAAATTAAAATTTGTTTTCCAAACTGAACACCTTCTGCAATTTTTTTCCCCAACTCGCAATTTTATTATTGTAAGGTTTTTTTTTTTTTTTAAGCTGAAGGTATTAAGGTTTTGCTGTCTGCTAAGAACCTTGTTCAACTTGCATATTTTGGGACTGGGAACTACCTTAAGCACAAAATCCAAGCACCAAACTAGTTAAGGTTATTTTTACTCAAGCACCACCTGGTGTGCTTAATGCCTGTAACTCACTCCTGTTTTGCCTCTTGGTCTACAGGGAGGGCCAGATTGACTGTTAAAAAAAATATTCCTCAGTTCAAACACCTCAGGCTTTCTGAGCCCTTGGGGCTGATCCACAAATTGATCTTCAGCACAGTTAGATATGCCTTGCAGCATAACACAAACTGAAAACATGGCAGTCAGCGCCCTTCTTTTTGGACACTAGCCTAGTGACATGTGTCACTGATGTATGTCACCAGAATAACATCCAGGTTACTTCATGCTGTTAGTTACCTGCATAATTTTTAGGACTTGCAGTGCTGATTTGAGATGTTAAAACTAGGAGGCTGGAATGCAATTTTAAGCTTTCAAGAGCTATTAGTGTGCAATATGAAACTACTTTTTTGCTGGGTTTGGGTTGCTTTTCTAAACAGACTAATTAAGTTGTGATGACCAAGACCAAGGGGGTTTGCTGGATAACACAGAAAAATGTGTGTGGGTTTTTGTTTGTTTGTTTATAAGAGAGAAATTCTATCTACTTCCATACTAGACTGGTAGTTATGAATATGTCCTTTGAGTGAAGGGCAGGGAGGAATGCCCCAGCTTATACTAAAATGCAAGCCTTAACAAGAACAACATGGGGCAGCCGCAGCAGTACGGGTGCTATTGGAAGTTAGCCATTATATTTTTATGAAAATCTGTGTTTCTGAGTTTGAACTCATTTGCAGAAATGGAGCAAATAGTTATTGCAAATTGTACATTTGCAATATGTGTACAAAGGAAGTGACATCCTTGAATTGTTCAACTTACATTTTTCGATATTTTTATTAGAGTGTCTCGAGAGTGTTCAGTGAATACTTGAATGCAAGCAGTACTGTTATGTCTGGGATTACTTTCTGGTTCTTGCTAGTGGCTTGTGCTGTTTTTTCTTTATTTAAGGAAGTTTTGGCTAAAAACTCTTCAGCAGGTTGCTTTCATTTTTGTAACTGTAGGTGAAAATGCATAGCTGAGTGATGCAGTTGAGTGGATCTTAGCAATTGAATCTTTAACAGCAAAAGCTGCAATAAGTGTGGAAGTGCATATGTATACATGTGTGTATTTTTAATTATTATTATACAAAAAAACCACAACATCTTTCTCAAACTTGGTCTTTTCTGCAGGAAAAAGCCTACCCATGTGACTTTTAAAATAGGGTATTTTATAATGTTTTCATTCAGTTTTGGGCGTTGTTTTGGCATGCAAAGAAAACCTGAAAAGGTGGTGTGTGGGGGTTGTTGGTGGTTTTTTTTTTTGAGTTTCTTTATATGCTTTTTTCCTTCCCCTTTTTTCTCTTGGCACTGCAAAAGATAGGGAATGCTTGAGAAGTGTGAAAATGTGTATAACAGTTGTTTTCAGTGTAGTGGAAACTTCATATATATGAAATTTATTTTTAGTTTTAAATTAATCATTTTTCTCTTTGCATTTTTTTTTACTTACTACTATTTCAAGTGGGTATTTTTACTATGAAAACTTTCAACAGAATAAAAGTAAGCTTGGTCCTCTAGCCAGGCAAATGACACTTTGAATATCTTGTTTTTCATTTTTAGTGTGTACTAAGCTGTACTTCCTTAGGGAACAGGTGCTCTCATTAAGAGGTTGATTCAATTTTATGGGACTACTCAAAGTGGATTTTATTTTTGCCTTAGGTCCTTATCTCCAGCATTTAGGATTCCAGAACACCATAGGCAAAGGCATGCTCATATTAATTATGACTGTGAATATAAAAGCTTTCGTAAGGACCCAAAGAAGCCTATGCCTTGGAGAACAGAAGATGAAAAATACGGACAAAGCAATTCCAGGTTTGCACCTCATGGAAATAACCACCAGAGAATATATGAACGTAGATCACCTTCACCAAACCTGAAAAGAATTCCCATGGAAGATACTTACAGTCATAAGCCCTACAGAACACATTCATCTGAAAGAACTGAAAGCAACAGGAGATGCCAGTTACCACCAAAATACTCAGAAATACCATATAAAGAGCATGATCGTCTGTTTTACCAACACAAAATGGAAGACAGATACATGTTTGAGCACTACAAAGTCACTGGAAATGAAAAAGGAATTAAACCTTTTCATAGACCGTTAGGGGCTTCGTGTAAACTTGAAAGAAAATGGCATGAAGATGACTTGAGGCACCAGAGGTTACATGAAGAGAAGTATGGTCAGTCACCCAGAAGAGTTTCTGATGAATTTACGTCAAGGAGCTCTTTACAGAAGAGGTATAGGAATAAAATAATTAAAACCTGGGTATTGTGGTGTAAAGCCTCAAGTGAAAGTCTGTTTTCATTATAGTTGAAGATAACCACCTTGAAACACGTTCGCCACTTTGTAGTTTAATTATGGGCGACTGGTAGTAGTGAAGTATTTGTCTTTTAAGTAAATCGTGTTGATGGCTAGAGTATGAAAGGATAATGTTTCCCTCTTAAGAGCCCCTGCACATCTGTACCTTGGCGTGAGGGATTATGGGTTAACTTGCCACGCATTCTGCTGTCCAACATTCTGCACATATAAGTTCTCACTTTCTTCTCTAGTGCAAGTGTAAATTGCTTTATGTCAACACAGGTATCCTGAAGATCACGATTACAGAGAATATGGGCACACGTCTAAAAGGGCTAAAGAAATGGAGAGGTATGACGGTGGAGAAGTAGCAAGAAATTCCAAGTGGAAGCAAGAACGTTCTTTTCCACCCTACGAAGAAAAGGAGGAGCAAAGAAATCTGGGTACCCAGTCCCACCACCGATCGGCTGAAAGGGAGTACTCGGAGGGTTCTGTCACAAAGATAGCCTATGAGTACAGTCACAAACGGCGCAGGCATCCGGATGGGGAAAAGCCTTTTTCAGACGATAGAGCTCAGAAGTATGTGAAGCAGGAAGACCAGAAATATGGTTCTTCTAAGGGTGCCCGGAATAGCAAAGAGTTAGATTACTTTAGCGGTGGAAGAGCGAGACGAACTGAAGAAGGGCATGTCGAAGTACCTGTTAAATATAGTTCAAAGAAGGGCTGCGATGCTTGTGTTAACTCTTCCAAAATGGATGTTGATCTGAGATCTTTTAAAAACAAACCGAAGGAAAGAGTAAGGAAAGAAGGGGAATTCAGGAAAAAAGTAGATTCCTCCGATAGCCAGCATGATTCAAGTCATACTGTTTCAGATGTGAAAATGTCAGATACCAACTGTAGGAGGGAACGTCTCACAATCAAAGTGGATATGAAGAAAATGGTGACCAAGTACAGGTATTGGTTTCCCCTCACCTCTTCTTCTTTCTTCCTGTCTCTTCACAGTTTATGAATGTTGGAGAAAAGCACGGTTTCTTTAAGAGGTAACCAGGACAAACTAAGGTTGTACCTTTTTAACTTTATTTCATTTAAAATGTTAACTTGCCCAGACTGGAAACTTACAGCTTACCTCTATTAAAAAATAAACAAAAAACTGCTCCCCTGGTTCATTTCATGGAGATGTAGTAGGAAGTGGAAAGAGCAGATGTGTCTGATACAAACCTGTAGTTAAAAGTTGCTTATGATTAGTAAATGTGTTACTTTTCTTTAAAAAGCAGAGAAGCAAAAGCAGAAAAGCCTAGTCCTGTGCTTTCTTCTGGAATATGATGGCATTTTTTTGACTGCCATCCCTCATTTCTTGTAAAAATCTGATAACTTTTAAATTGCATAAATCTCCAGCACACATTCAGATGTTCAAGGTCTCAAGTTCAATAAAGCTGTGGAAAAATTTGAGATCCCTGGGTTATGTTATTTATTGTTGTAACAAATGAAGTGGCAATCTGTTCAAGCATCAGAACTGAAAAGCAGTAGAGTCTGCTTCTGTCTATCTTCTGTGGAATACTTGTGGTTGCCTTTAGCATTCCTAATGCTGGCGGAATTGGAAAAAAGTGGTAATATGAAAATCTAGATGATGGATACATGGTAGAGAGTAAGCAGCTTGGTTTGTGTAGATCTTTGCAGACTTTTCTGGGCTGTTGACTGGCTGAACGTCATATAATGGCAGTAATCCCTTTTGGAAGGGATTGCCTTCCCTTCCAAAATGATCAGCCTTCATTTTAAAGGTATTTTGCCTCTTGTCCCAAATAAAACATCTATATCGATTTTTTTTTCCCTTTCCAATATTTCAGAAACATGTAATACAGTGGAGAGTTACAAAGACAAGTTACTGTCTGCACATAAGGGGCTAATAGTAAAGACTGAGGAAAGGGAAGTGGACTAATGCCTTCCCCCCCATCCCCAGCTAGGACAAGCATTTAACTTCCTGAATGATAATGTAAAGAAAATAATTATTGTTGGGTTTTGTTGCAAGCCCACAGGACGACTCCTGTGTCTAGTAGCCTCTTGCTGCTGTTTTTGAAAGTCCTGCACAATGGACATGGTAATTATTTACAGACTGAAGAAACTGCTACGTTGATTACAGCTAATTTCATGTGTGGAAGGTTTGCTTCCACAGCCAAAAGTGCTAAATATTTTATTTTTTTAAAGATGAGAACACTAATTTTGCAGAAGCTGATGACTGGGAATAGTCATGCTGCCTACTTCAGGCATTTAACAAACACCTGACTTGAAATGACTTGGCTCAGAAGAATACTTTTTTTTTATAAACCTGGGGGCCAGGTAGATAATTCAAATCACCTGCAGTTGAGGTTGTTTGGATTCCCTCTGGCATGTGTTTATTTCCAGTTTACTGGGGGCAAATAGATGACTTCTGGCACCTGCTAGGGGCTATTCCTGATACAATTTTTGTATGAGATTCTAGTCTTGGTATGCTTCAAATACAGGATGGGCAGGCACATAATCAGTTTGCAGAATGCACAGTAAACAGTCTTTATCCTCAATTTATCTTTTCAAATGACAAGCGTTTTCCTTGCAACAAGAACACAGGATTTTTAAAGTGTTAGCTTCCTTGTCAAAACAATTCTTAAGCAGCAATGCAACCATTTGGTGCATAAACTTATATGGAATGAGTAAAATTTTTGACAAAAAAGATGCTAAACACATTCTTAAGTTCACACACTGCCACTGGAAAGCTGTTTCACTAGGCTCAAGTGATGATTTGGTTCCCAAAGATGCCATGAGATTTTTACATCTCTGAACTGTTCTTGAATATTGCCTGGTAGCTCCTTATAAACAGACACGCACATAATTGCCTTCCAGAATTATACTACAGTAGTATATCAGGATCTTCATTTGCCTTTATTTGATAATCTAGATGAATTAAGTTTAAAATCACAAATTTTGTATTACATACTTCAGTGAAACAAGGATTCCTGAGAGTTTAGTTATATTTCTTTATATTTTATTATAGCTTCTCTTCCTTATGGCCTTATGAGATGTTTAATTTAAAAAAGGAACAAAATGATATTTCAGTTTCATCACATTTATTCCTAAAATGAACCTCCTAATTTATTGTTTTGTTTTACTTGTCTATTTGAAGTTTTCAGATATAGTGAATTCATTCAAAGTGAATATCTGCAACTTTTTATTCTAGGACTGCTTCTAGTCACACTACAGAGAGACAGATGTCCCATGATCTGGTTGCTGTTGGCAGGAAAACTGAAAATTTTCATCCGGTGTTTGAGCACATGGAATCTGTAACACAAAATGTTGAAAACGACCCATCAAGAGAATTTACTCAGGAAATAATCACAATTATCCATCAAGTTAAAGGTGGCTGTAATATTTGGAGTATATGTATGTGTTCATGTATTTATAATTATTAACAACAAATCTAATGAATTAGATATGCTGTCCTTGTAAGTCTCAGGTGTTTGCCTTTGGCTTAATTTGTATTTTGGCTTCATTCAATATTGTTTAAGGACAGTGTAGGTTGAGGATTTAAAGTAGTTGGGTGGAGAATGATTTTAAGGTCTCAGTCCATAACAGAGGCATTATTGTGGAGTGTTAAGGTTGAAAAGATTTTATGCTAATACTTAAGACTAACCTGCTTGTTTAGGAAACAAGAGAGGAAAAAAGGAGCTTTGCTGTAGTCACAACTTCCTAGTTTATATATAGTTCCTTTAATTTTTCAGATTAGTGTTTAGACTGCTGCATCACGTTCATTGTTGAACTTTATTTATAGATTCTATTCATTTGAGTGCTACCATGACAGAGATGACAAATAGTTATCTTTCTATTGAGCTTAATCTTACTTAATAAGAAAGATGTCTAAGTTGGGCTGACCTAATCTTTCATTTTTGAATGTTAAACTGCAAGTGGAAATAGTTTGAAATTTAATCTCAGAAGTTGTCTTGGTGTCCTTAAGAGTTAGTCTTTTAAAAGATACAGTTTCCCACTGTGCATTTCAAATACTGCAAAGAAACATTCTTGTGTTTAATATCTCCTCACAGCAAATTATTTTACATCCTCTGACATAACTCTACATGAACGGTTCTCAAAAATTCAGGATAAACCAGTTGCAAATATGAATGAAGTTAAAATACATTTAGATCCAGAAATTCACAGGTAATTGATGTGCTTTTTGCTTTAATTTATTTGCATTAAGGTAGTTAATCTTCAGTAGATTTTACATAATGTAAAGTGTTTTTTCACTGACTTTAAACTACCTGCCCATAGTCTGTAAAGAATTCTGTAGTTGATCAATAATGCTTTTGCTATTTATAGTGCTAGCACTTGTTACGTAGTATTTTTGTGTTCCAGGAGGATTGATATGTCTCTAGCAGAACTTCAGAACAAACGAACTGTGCCATCTGAATCTCCCCAGGTATCTTGATTACTTAACTTTTTTGGCAAACAGTTGGTTAAAATGATATAGATGTAAACAATTTTCCCCTTGCTATTGGTACACGATTTTACGTGCTTTGAAGACCATCAGTAATTCTGACTGTTTTGAGAGAACTGCACATTTCAGCATATTTACAGATACCACAATGGTGCAAGTATTGTGTTCACTGATGAGTAAAATGCAGGTGTGTTCTCGAGAGTATCTGGAGTGTGGTTAAAATAGTGTAAGTAGGTGACTGACGTGTGGCTCTTACTTTCCCTCTGAGATTAAAAAAGCCTTAATGTTTCTTCTACCCTAATGTTAGAATGGCCCGACATCCGCAGAATTCCTCAGAATGCTATTTTATCCCATGCTTTCATCCAGGGACATAAGATTTTTTTTTTTCTGTCTTCCACTTTCAAGCTATACTTACTGTGATTTAGTTACCATTTTTTTTTTCTGTAGTACAGGTATGTAACTTCAACTTAAGAATAGTAGAACTCCTTAAGATTTACTGGAATTTATGTGAATATTTTTGCATTGGCAACTCCATGCAGAATTCCAGTGCTCTTCACTGTTTTTTGGAAAATTGTAAAAAGGCGGATGGTGCAAGAAAGCGTAATTGTTTGGGACTACTTTTTGTTATTATTTTGGACTTTGGATCCTCGGGTTGATGTGCATCTGTCCTGTGTGTAGATAGTTGAACTACGTTAACAAGGTTATATACCGGATGCAACCCCTGAAGGACAGAATCGTGTTTAGTTATTACTAGCTAACTTGACTTTAACCCTTCCTCTTAACTAGAACATTATGAGAGTGTTAGAAGATCCAAATGATCTACGGCATGATATAGAAAGGAGGAGAAAAGAGAGACTGAAGAATGAAGATGAGAGGGTGTTTCATGTAGATGGTGTAACTCCAAGGTAATTAGCAAATAACAATCTTGTTGGCCCAAGCCTGTAGTTCTCTTACGCATTCATTTTTTGACTCTTCCGCAGTTATATTCATGTTTGTTGTGATTCTTTTCAATAGTTCGTCCTTTCAAGTTTGACTCGGACTGAAATTCAACTGACACACGTTGCAAACTACTCTGTAATGGAGTGTTACCTTGAAGGAGGTTAAGCTGCAGTGGGGAAAAAATGAAAAGCAAGCTCAAACTGTAGCACTGAATGGGAAAGAGGGGAAGAAAAGAATTTAAAGATACTTCACTATTTTTAAACTCCTTGATGTGCCATAGAACATTTTCTTGGTGTTCTGTAGTTTCATAAAAGCATTCTAGGACAAATACATTGTTGTGTTGCCCTGGTTGTTTTGTAATGTCATGTGGAATATCAACAAAGAATTGGAATTTTTCTGATCTTGGATAATTTTATGAAGAAAAGCTAGATTTTTGGAATACCTTTTTACTGCTGTAAATTCCTCCAACAGGTTTGTTAAAGGTGTTTGTCCCAGAGGTGTTTGCTAACCTCAGTCATCCTGTTTCACTTTTGATGTTACGAGGTTGGTTGATTAGAGATGACTTTACTTATTTGTGTTAAAGAAATATTGATTAAAGAATTGCCAGAGTGTAATGAAATGTATCTGCACTTGTAGATACGTAGTCACGATTTGCAGATCGCTCTTAATATGCTGCTGTTTGTTCATTTTAAATGTAGTCTATAATGGCAAATGGTGGCAATGCACACATATTTGGGAAAGTTGACTTGTGAAGCTGCAGAAGAAATATATTTCTTGTATTTGAGATTCTTTAAACAAAAAAAGTAAAAGTTACCAAGTGGGAGAAAAAATTAAAAAAAAAAAAAAAAAAATTGGACTGTTGCATATCGCCTTTTATGTACCTGGGGCTATGTCTTTAGTGTATGTTTGGTCTGATTATCTGGGAAGGCTTTTTTTTGCCGCTTCCACACCACAGTTACACAAAAGGTAAGCAAGACAGTATGCTGCTCAGAGCAGGAGGCGCAGATTTCTCTAGTAGGTGTGGCTGTCCTGGAGTTTGATGCGAGGAGGGGTTACACTGTCAGAGTCACGTAGACAATGTAATGTGGGCTGAGGGCAGTAATGGTGTGAACGATGGGTAGAATTTTCCTGAGACTGGGGGTTTTTAATACTTCACGTATGAGATACTGGCAGTGCCTATGAGCTAATCCAGTGTGCCTCTATTTTTGCTGTAGTAATTGATTTTGCAGCTATGAAAACCGTTTCTGTATGTTTCGTGAACTATGAATTCTGACTTCTGGTGGTTACTTTTCATCGTATATGTTTTATTTAGAGGTCCATGGACAGATCTGTATTAGCAATGTGCTCAGTAAAAAAAAAACCAAAACACCAAGCAAGCAAAAGCCCAAAGCCAGAACACCCTGCTCGCTGAGGATGAAACTGGAGCATCTAGCTATTTATCCGACCTTCTGTCGGATTTGGGATTTCATGAAATGGAAAGTTCTGTGCAACTTTAAAGATAGTACGGTATAAAACTGCTGAACTGCAGAAAGCATTTCAACCAGCGGAGGGCAGCAACGACCAGCCGTGCAGGCCTAGCGGGTGAGCCAGGGAAGCCTGATCGCCATAGCAAGGATTGCAAGGCGGCAGAGTATCTCTGTTAATTTGTCATTGCATAAGAGAATACAGCTTACTGTATAATTCTGTGCAACTTGGGCTTGAGTTTAGTCAGAAGACTAGTAATTTGTCAAATGTCCTAGAAAAAAGTTACTTAAAAAGTGTCGCTTTGCACTTCGAAGTGATACAGATGCTAGACTAAGATCATGTAAAATGCAGGGGTTTGATATGCTATGGCTTTAGACTTTAATTGTTTTCTCTCTTTCTCTCACACATACACATCAGGAACCAGCAAAGCTGCAGTCTTTCAAAATTACAAAACTCTCAACTTGATGGCTTCCAAAAGCCTATGAGGTTCATTAAGCCACCTTTCAGGAAATTTATTGGGAAACCTCACCTGGTAAGCCTAAATGTAGAATTAGTAGCTCCTGCATTTGTTGTTCTTGCATTTATAATTCATTTTTATACTGCATTGTCTATGCTGATGTAAATTTAACAATCTGTGATGTCTTGCCCTTTTAAATTTCAAGGGAGGCTGTATTATCCTCAACTTTGCTCAACAATGAAACTACTCGTAATTTCACAGTTCTAGTGCTGTACTTCCTCAGCTATTTGTTGAAGCATAGATTAATACAAGTGAGCTGAAACCACAGCTATAGCCAAATGCTGATTCAACAAAAATAGTTCTTTTTGCTTTTGCATGCTATGCTGTAGCCCATAACAACTCTGCTACTGTTTTTTATAACCTAGCAGTGAGTTGGCCAGGGATTGGTTGTTTCAGAAAGCTGGTTTAGATCAGTATGTTGGGTGAAATGAAAACATTTTTTTAGCTAGTCTGGAAATAAGGTGGTCAACTTTAGATCTCTTATTGAATAGCAGGAGCAGGTCAAAGTAAAGTTTTGAACTATAAATTTTAGGTTCAGAATGACTTACTGAAATTAATTGATTAAAGGGCTTTATGAAATAAAAAATCATATTGCTTGTAGCTTTATAAAATAAATTTGTACGTAATATTGCATTTCTTCCACTTAATGATGTACTACCTAAACTATAAATTAGAAGGCCTTGTTATTGAGTAGAAACCTGAGGTAATGTGCAACAGTTTGAGAAAAAGAATACTCTCCTGCATTCTAGTTGTCAGTGCTTGGAAGGGAAGGTCTGAAGCTTGTTTTGTGTAGGTGGCATTGTTACTAAAAAAGTGTTTCTCCTCATGATAAAAGTTCTGGGAAGCTCTTATTTTAAAAACGAATAAAAATGAGGAACAAGTCACAAGTAATTAAAAATGTCTGAAATGATGTTCCCGAGGATGGAATGTTATACAGTGGAATAGCTTGTCTGTGTTGGTATTGCGCTTATCAAAGCTAGTTTGGGCACTTATTCTTTTTTAGGCTATCTTTCTGTGATGTACTTTAATACTGAAATGGCAAAGACGGTTATATTAGGTTCAGTAGAAATGAATTTGTCACTTTTGGAAAATTCCTTCTAAATAAATGTAGTCTTATTTCCCAGTGTTTGTGCTTGTTTAACTTACGGAACTCATGAGACCTGAAAAGCTTTATTAATGTGTGCAGTAGAATTCTAAAACCTTATTCTTTTTTTCTGGTGGGTGCAAAATAAGGAGGAGACTAACACAAATTGTCATTCTTTATATGTAGTAATTAATACCCTACAGACAGGGTTGCAGAAGACCGTGAAACTTTTGAGGTCCATCAAAAGTAGCTTTTATTTAGTCAAACTTTTGACCATCACTGAAATGTAGCTGCCTTGCAGATATAAATGTGTCTTTCAGAGTAAAAGAACGCAAGTTTTTAACAGTAAAAAATATTACTTAATCAAGACTAAGATTCGAGTCCCCATAAACCAAGTAGTAATAGCTTATTAAGTAATTGCAAATAAAAAGGGAGTTAGTTTGAAATAGCAACTGAGTTATTTTTAGATTGCATTTTGATATCTAATAGCGAACTACAAGCATGCAGTTTTTAGAAAGCGTTGCACTGCAGTGAGGAGTTATCCGTTCAGAACAACAGTAGCTAAGGAAGCATGGGTATTACAAATGCAAGGCATCCTAAAGAAGGAATGACTCTTCATGAAGTCAGCCATGCAGAAGCTGGTTTGCAGATAAGTGGGAAGATCAGATACTTTAGTTTGCCATCCACATTTGTCAGTAAAAATAGAATTAATCAATGCTCACCAACTGGCTCGGAGGGCTTACAGACATTTTGCAAATGTGTCCACAGTACCTTATTTGGCACTTTTTAATTGCATCTTCTCTTCTGGTTTTGTGTTTCTGTTCTTGCCTTTTGATTGTTATTCTGCTCCCCTTGTCTGTTTTCCTGTTTATCTAGTATGTCTAATGCTCAATAGGTAAAGTAATGCAGAAAGAACAGTTTTCCTGGGCAGAGCAGATCACTAATGCAGCTAACTCCTATCTGAGGCAGTACAAATGATTCATCTGAATAAGCTAGCTCCAATAGTGTGGCACTTCCCGTGACATGTCGACATGTTGTGTGAGAATGTATGGTGCTCAAAATGGGTTTCCTTGAAGGAATTCTTCAGGACTGGGTGCGATTGGGGAAGAGCTTATCCTGGTGGGCAATAGCTCATGCTCAATATCCATGTGTAAGCTGCTAGCACTGCTTTAGTATTTGTTGTGGGAGTTAAGTGGAGTGCCATCCCAGCAGCCAACAGTAATTTCAGCCACATGTATCACTTCTGTGTTGAGCAGGTTTTCTGTAATAAATTCAGAGCTGCATAACTGTATTCACTAGTACTTTGTTTGGAAGCGTAACATTAGTAGAGTTGAAAGCAGCCTTAGAAAAGCAAAAATGAATGAAGGTAAAAGCCATTTGTAGCTGCTTTCTGCAAGAGGACAAATGTTTGGAATTTGCTGCTCAGTGGGTCTTGTATCAAAATAGTATGGTTCAGGTGTGAACACTGCCAGGCACCTTGAAAAGCGTAAGGACCACGACTAAAAGGCAGTGTTCAGAGAATAATGCATTGGATTTAAGAAGTGGTTTGATGGGTCACCAGAACATTGATGGACACTTTTTTTTTTTAAATAGGAAACATCCTAAAATGAAGGATATATTACTGGGGCACAGCAATACATGAAAAAACTGAGGAAGAGTTTGAAACATAAGCAAGAGCTAAGATAAGAGTTGTTGAATAAGAAAGTAACTTCTTGTGGTTTTGCTCAGTCTTACAGATTCTTGGGTAGATATTGTTTCAGTTGGTTTCACAGTCCAAGCAGAGCTCTCCAGTTCTTCTGGGAAGCCGTTTTATGCTGCAGAAGAGATGTAGCAATAGCACATTGTATCTGCAAAATTGTAAAGGTGTGGGAAAACACATGAAAAAGTACACAATAGACGTCTCTTACCACTTTTGTTGAGGAGACTTCTGCCTATAATCTTAAAAGCAAACCCTTGGAAATCCAAAACAAAAACTGTAACCTTCAACACTCCTCTCAGGTTTGTTTACTCTTTTTTTTTTTTTTACAGGTAACCATTGAAAGAAAAGTATATGAGAGCCAGGTTTCAAATGACAAGCATAACAGTGCCAAGGCTCAGAAAATATGGCAAAAATAACTTTTAAAAAAAGGGTATTTGACAGGAAAACCACTTAAATTATAAAATTATAACACAGGTTTTAAAAAAAAAAGTATTGGATAAATATTTGCACATTTTCATCTTTGTTAGTAAAATTTTATTGTGTTTTTTATCACTCTTGCTTGAGGAGCTGCGTGTATCAGCATTGGTAAAAGATGGATGCTTGAAAACTGAAAGCCTGATCAGTAGACCATAACTGATGGTAGGATGTTGCCTAATGTGAAAACAGATAATGTGTTGATCATACTAAGATATCCTTACAGTAAACTATCAAAATCTGATATTAACACCACATTTTGCTCTCTTGTTAAATGGACGATATTAGTCATTTTGATTAAAATTAAACGTGGAAATGGTATTGACTTGGTTGGCCTACTTTTGGTGTCCCATGATTAACCAATATGAACTTTTCAGTGCAAGGTATGAACACCATTTTACAGCAGGCCAGTGAAGGGGGAGTGTTTCTTGTGTTGAATATTCAATAACCGGGGTTTGAGCTTAAACTTGAGAAGAACTTGTGCCTTGAAGGTGCAGATGTCTGTCTAGCCTTGATTGTAGGAAATGTCCATCTAGCCTTGTACCCTATTGACAAAAAGAGGATAGCTAAAAAGTCGAAGATCAGAAGTAGTATCTTTGTACTCCCTCCTCCCCCCCCCTTTTTTAATTTAAAACCTATGGTTTAGGAAACTCTTGAAGAGTAGATTGCTGTATCTGTGCATTAAGTAGTTCTAATGTTTTTGTTTCCATGAATGTACTTGAATCTTGAGGGAGGTGAGAGTGGGAAGGGGTGTATCCACAGTTAGTTGAGACAAGCTTTCTTTAAATTCCCAAAGGCTTATTTTTAACTCTAACAGGAAATTCTCTTGAATGTTGGGTTTTCTTCCTTTTTTCATCTTGCTGAATTCTCAGCTTTAAGGAGGAGTGTGCTTCAACAGGGAGCTTCCTGACCTAATTATGTGTTGTGTGGGGAAAGTTAATTTGATTTCATGGAGTATCTTCATATTCTTAGAATAAGAAGGCAGTTGCGAAGTTCCTGATGTGCTTTTTCTTCTGTGTATTTAATTTTCCATACCTTTTTCTTGGAAAAGCCGTTTTGACTCACTTCATAAAGTCTTTCTTCCTCTCTTTTTGTTCTCTGCTGAATCCCCTCTTGTCAAGGCATTTTAAGAAGCTAAATAGCTGTCTTGTGGGCAATAATATATTATTTAAAAAAAAAAGAGGTAGCTTAAATCCCAGTTAAAAGTTAACCTGGATTCTAATGCAGTTCTGTTGTGTTTATAGCACTGCCTCCCCCCAGATTAGTAACAATGTGAGAAAGCATATCCTAAAGTGTTTCTGCTGCTGGAAAGGTTTGGTGCTTTGTTAGAGAACAGAAATTCTGTAAACAGCAAAACATGCATTTGCATTTATTATTAGATGTTAGTATATATGAAATATTTCATGAGAGTTGTCTTCTTAGGCTCTTTTTAAAATGTACTTGAAGCTGTTAAAATCTCTTGAAAAAAAGAGTTTGACAGTATTGGAACATTTTTGTGATTATTCAAGAATGGGCCATAAAAAAAAAATAATTTGATTGCGAAGTTCATTAGCAAGTCTGTTCTGTCTGCATTAGGTGACTTTAATGTAGTATATGCCAGTATGTAATGCTTGTGTAAATATTTATAATCATATGCAATGATGGAAGAGAATGATATTTTAGTTCTGTGCAGCCTCTTGAGGTAGCTGTCATGGAAGAATTGGAAAAGGGCCAAAATACACAGGTAGGACAGTGGCTGGAGGGAGTGCTCTATTTTAGGCAACCATGGCTGTTTGACTGCAGCTGCTCAGTGTGTTGACACACAACAATTTCAGCACCACTTGTCTGTGCGACTTGCTTTTGAAATCACGTGTGTTTCTGTGGCAGGCAAGTAATCTTCAAAATTCTCTGCTGTAATACAGAGTTAAAAGTAGAATCTTCTAAGGACCGATGTAACGTGCTACACAGTTCATTCTCTGGTTGCTGCGGTGCTGTGTATACTAACAGTGCATGTGTCTGCTCTGAAATACGCTAGCCTATGATGACTACATGCTAACCAGGGATGTCCAGAGTACTAATCTTGTTGCCCTTATTCCTGACTCAAGGGATGACTGCTATGAGCAGCCTGTCTGCTACACTTGCTGCATGCAAATCAAGGCATCTGTTCTAGGGGGGCAGGGGTGGAAAACCTTAATTGGGTTGTTACCTGCTTAGATCTCTCCAAGAGGATGATTCCAGCAGGATGGTCTGTATCATCTTTGGCTTCTGTGGGCTCTGCCATCTCTTCAGCCAACCTGGGCTCCAGGCCGTGTGCTCCTGTTACTCTGGTTCCTTCAAACAGTGTCATTGTGTTAAACACTACAAGATGGAAAGAGTTGCAATATTTGTTAGTATAACCTGGAAACTTGATCTTTTTCTTGAATGATTTAGTAACAGTATGCTAATAACTCTGTTTTCCTACTAGAATTCTTACTATTCTTCAAAACCAAGTGAGACTTACCCTCACAGACGCATTAGAGGACACCTTGAAAATGCAGGACCCATCAGAAGACACTTTAAGGTACAGATCAGCTTTTATCAGACATACGTTACATAAAATGGTGATTCGATCCCGTTGAGTTTGGTAACAGGAGACACATTTTTGAAGGTATTAAATGCCATGAAAAATAGTGTCGTCATAGCCTAATTGTTTCCACTGAAATAATGGGAGGCTTAGCTTTTAGTAAGTAAGAGGACTGGCAGTAGATTGAGCAGGGTTGTCCAATATTGTATCCGTGCAGTTGAAATAAGTTAACTGCAAAGTTGAGAATGAGAATTGCAGAAATTAGACAATGACTAGAAAGCTCATCTATCCAAAAAACAAGCTAGTCAGCTTTCTTTCCTTCACCTGATGCGTGTGGAAGCCTGAACTATTTCCTGAGACTGGGAGACATGAATTGTATTGCTTTCAAAATTGTATTGCTGCTGTTATTTTATTAGCCCTTTCACATAGGGATTTCTGGGGAACTAACCTCTTGTGTATACCCTGCATACTGCTATCTATGCATTTAAAAAAAAAAAAGTAAAAATTGTGAAGCTTTATTCTCAGGGCCTCAAGATGGTAAAGGGGTGGGCAACTGTGCTGCTGCTTGGGGTAATGCAGAGGCTTTCTAATGCCTTTTGATTGTAAAATGTATGACAGGGTCAGCAGAAAAACAAAAAACACTATTTTCTGCTGACAGTGGCTTGCTATGCATGGATCCAGTTAGAGCTCTTTATATTAGAAAAGTATTAATCAAAGCTAGAACAACTTACTCTAATTTTTTACCTTAAAATTACCCCTACTTATTTAACAGGTGTGTTCTCAAGAGTAAAATAACACACAGAATACGTAGTCGTCTTTCTTGTTTTGTAGATAGTGAAGTTGAAGTAAAGTTTTGATGGCTAAGTTAAGTAGCTGGCATTTTGGATGAAATTTTGAAAGGGGGGACAGTGTAGGTATGGGGTTTTCTGTTTGTCGTTTTTTTTTTTTTTCCCCTCCCACTGCAGACTAAACACGAGAACTGTTGGATAAAAAGGCTTTCCAGGCTCTCCCATCTAGGTGTGCTTTGCCAGTCAATCTTAGTCAGATAGTGAAGTTAACACTAGCAGAAAATGCAACTTTATTCTGCTGAAAAGAAAGTTTTTTCCAAGCTGATGTTAACAAATTCAACGTGTCATCCTGATGTAACTATTTTAACATGAAGGACATCATAGCCTCATAATCAGTATCCCCTCTGTATTGTCAGCCTATAGGGGATGGAGGGCTTTAACACTGGCTGCCATATCATTGAGGCAGTGTTGGTAGTTGATGTGATATAAAGAAAATGGAAGGCAGCCTTCATTTACATCAGCCTACAGTTCTGCTGGAGATTATGCAAGTGTGAAAGCGTCCACTTAAGTTGTCATCACACATATATATGAATATTGCCTGAATATTGCTGTATCCAATGATCTGTCCCATGGTGCTTTAATATTTGTAGGGAAAAAAAAAAAATAGCATATGCACCCGTATTGCAGTTTGCGTATGTGTATAGCACATTTATCATTGCCATGGAAACAGCAGTGCTGATTTGACTTAATTCCATCAACTTTTTTTTTTTACATTTAATTTCTTCCTGTGTAATGTAGAGGGTTTTTCCTTCCCATCCTGTTGCTGAAACCTACTTAGGAAGGTGATTTGACTATCTTCTACAATTGGGAGACTTTCTTGGCTGATTATTTAAAAACAAACATACAAAAAAAAAAAAAAACACACACACACAATCCCATTCCCTGTTGTCGCGCCCCCCCCCCGCCCCCCCACCCCACCACATTGCTTCTTGGTATGTAAAATGGGGGCATTTTAACTTAATAAGCAAAAAAGGGGGGTTACTTAGAGTATTTAAAAAAAAAATTGTCTTGCAGTATGTTAAACATTTTGGAAAAAAAATTATTTTAAAACTGTTTTATAAAGGATCTGGAGAAATCTTATAAAATTTAAAAGGTCTTTTTTGCAATGATACTTTGCAATGAATCACTAAGCCAACCTTTAAGTGGGTACGTACACAGTAATCTTTAGAACTGAAAAAACCTTATTTATTGTTTAACAGTTCAGTGTGTTAATGCCTGTGGTGGGTTCACCCCAGCCAGCAGCTAAGCACCACACAGCTGCTTGCCCACTCTCCCCTCAGCTCCCCTCCTCCTCCAGCAGGGTGGGAGAGAGAATATGGAGAGCAAAACTGAGAAAACTCAAGGGTTGAGGTGAAACAGTTTAAGAAGTGAAGGAAAGAGGAAGAAAAAAGTGATGCAAAAGTCATTCACTGTTTCCCAGAAGCTGGCTGATGCCCAGCTGGTCCCCAAGCGATGGGTACCTGCTCCAAAACCCCCTCCCCTCAGTTTCTGTTGCTGAGCAGGAGGCTATAGGGCACGGGATATCCCTTTGCTCAGCGCTGGTCAGCTGTCCTGGCTGTGTCCCCTCCCAGCTTCTTCCCCACCCCTGGCCTGCTTGCTGGGGGGCAGAGTAGGGGAAGAAGAGAAAAGAGAAAGCCTTGGCGCTGTGCAGGTACTGCTCAGCAATAGCCAAAACACTGGTGTGTTGCCAGGGCTGTTTTAGTCACAGATCCAAAACTTGGCACCATGCGGGCTGCTGTGAAGAAAATTAACTCCATCCCAGCCTGACCCAGTGCAATGGCATGTATTTGTTCATATAGACTTATTTCAGAGCCTGAGGCCATTGGTTCATAGGCTTTGTCATTAGCATTATTTATAAAATAGTCTTAATATAAAACTAGATGTCAATTTAGCAGATATTTTCTTACTTTAGACCAGAAGTTGATGATGTTTTCCACACACCTTAGATTACCTCATTTTGCTCCAAGCTATGTGTGACTGCAGTGCCTACATACCAAACGGATACATAGTTTGTTAACTTTGCAGCTGATTCTGTTGTACATCAATAATACCGCTGTTCCCTTCCCTCCCCACTTACGGAACACGTAGGTACTTGAGTTGAAACTTATAAGCTGTGTGTAATCTCATTTTCAGTATCTTGTACCCTTTTCCCCTCTCTTATTTGGTCTGCTGCTTTGCTTGCTGTCGTACAAATGCAGTGGCAGACCACTAAGGCCTCCTTTCTAGCCACCTATGCCAAAGCAGAGAACCGCAGCAGCTGTGGGGGAAATGGGAACTTTTAATCTTAACTGTGTTCAAGGGCTTAATCCAGCATTAAAAATGCCCTTTGGTTTTCCCTGTGGTAGGCATATACCTACTTAAAGAATTTACTTGCACTTAGTTGTATTGTGCCTGGGCTCTGATACTTTTCAGGAAAGGGGTTAGCATTTAATAGCCTTCTGCAAGTGTCCCCTACCTACAAGCACCATAAGAGTAACCATGGGGGACTGATGGGGCCAGCTTCTTGGTTATCTCCTACATAGTAGGTGGGTGAAATGGTCTGGGAAATAAGGAAACCTCTGCATTTGCATAAAGGAACCGCTGTTCTGTGCAGTCCTTTCTTAGCTGTTCACCAGCCGCACAGTGGAAAACACAGTGGAAAAACTGCAACTTGTTGCAAACTTATTGCAACCTCAGAACATGTGATTTTTCTTGAAGTGATCCGTAGTCTGTCAAAAGGAGACCGATTCCACCAAAACAATTGGGTCATGCTCAAGAAGGTCTATTTCTGTGATGTATTTTGTTCCCTCCTGCCCTTTAAAGGTGTTTGTAAAAGATGACAAGAATTTTTTATGGTCAGGATGTTTCCTCCTTTTTTAGCTGGAAAGCCATTGTTTGTTTAAACTTGGGGGAGGGAAAACCTTTAAATTTATATACAGGCATGCTTTCTGTTCAGACTATGTTAGAAAACTTAAAATGGCAGTACTGGAAAACTGAGAAATTAGAGTAAGAAAAACTTCATTTATCATAAAGACTTTTACTGCCTATTTTGTTGGAGGTCTGAGTGTAGTATTATTGATGTAGAACAGAATCAGCTGTAGACAAAGTTAACAAGGGAATGAAAACCTTTTTATAACTTTAACTGCTGTGGTCAGTGTTGATCTTGCTATATTCTTTCTGTGTATTTATAATGCCATTCACCTGCAAGCCTTTCATTATCTCTGTGGCCTCTGCTTCTGCTCCCACACTGGGTTAGTTTACAGTATTCTAGTCTGGAGGTAACAAAGGCACGGAGCAATGAACGTATGTTCAGACCCTAAGATCTTAAGACTATAGGAAAAAAATATATACACTGACTTCTGTGTAGTATGACTTTTTTAGATTCACCATGCGTGCCCGCTGCAGGCCTGACATCACTGAATTTGTTAGCAACAGTGAGGGGTTGTCTTAAACTTTTTTGTTGACGCTGGTTTACTTTCATTAAAGTTTGAAAACGTGTTAAAATGTTGTATAATACATTTACTTTTTCCTATGAGGAAGATAATTTCAAATGTTTTAAACAGTAAGTACAATACAGCAGTTCTTTGAGCCGTATGGTAACTAGTGGTCTGAGGAATATTAAATGGGAAATAAAGGAGGAGGCTCAGCACTTGCAAATGCGTACTTCTCTTGTTCAGTTCTCTGTGTTACGTGTGTATAACTGTAAATAAAAACTACTGAGTTTTGGTGCCCTCATTTTGCACATTTTTTTTTCTTCCCTTCCCCCACCCTTACAGAGCAACTTTGCAGATGGCCGTTTGCAATCCCATTATAAATCAGGCTTAGTACAGAAGGGTTTATATATTCAGGCTAAGTACCAGCGGTTACGTTCTGTTGGTGTAAGGGGATTTACCACTAATAAATTCAGAGATGGATTTTTGAGGAAAGAAAAGGTAAGTTGGCTTAATTTATTTTTCACTAAGCCATTTATAAAATACAAATATTCATATGATCCATTCCAATTTTTAAATCCCCATGGAATAACTTGGATGGGATTTTCTGGAATATTAGCTCTTTGTATTTTACAGGCAAAGCTGATTCTGCACTCCCGTTTCCACCATGTTTATTCCATGGAAACTTGCTGACACTTGCTTTGGGTAATTGCAAATCCGAGGTGGCCTCTGAGCTTCTGCAGTTGCCTCTGTTTCAGTATTCTCTCCTTGAGTTCAGTTGATCTCTCTTCCTATTGATAGAAAAAGTGACCAAGTGACCCTCTGTGTAAAAAAAAAAAAACCCAAACCAAAAAAACCCCCAAAAAACCCAAACAAAAAACCCCAAAACAAACCCAACAACAACTATGTCCCTCGTAGGCTACATCTTCAGAACAATGTGAAGGGTATTAATAATTTTTTTGACTACCTCTGTGTGCTTCTCCTCTTTGTTATGTTACCTTAAATTAATCATGTGCTTTAAAGTACACACTGGAGTGCTGTCCTGAATAAAACATCCTATGCTATATGATGTCTGTGTAAAATGGTTTGGTCAGCTCAAGCTGAAATAATTAGGCACATCTCTTTTATACCTTTTGATTTGCAGTGTGTATGGGACAATGATAATCTTGAACTGAAGAACTTTTGAACCATATAAAATGTAACAGCTTTTGTGAGGATCAGTAGTGAAAACGTTCTAAATCCTTTATTAGAATTGATCAAGTATGATCAAAGTACTATGAGGTTACACGTGACATCAGAAAATTGAGTTAGATGACCTACACAGTGCCTTGCAGTTCTGTGTTCCTATGCAAATTCTTGTTTTTTAATTCTGTGTCCACCTAGCTACAAGCAAATACACTTGCATAAGCATTTGTAGTTGGATTAGAGTTCAGTTCTCGGAGCACAGAAGCATAGGTTCTTAGAGCTGTTTTCAAAAAACCTCAAGTTTATAGCCCAGTGGGGACAAACACCAAAACACCAAAAAAACCCACTAAAACAATCCAAACAAAAAAAAGCCAGAAGGAAAACCAAACACTTTGGACAAGGTAAATGGGTCACTTGTTACTGAAGTATACTGGTGAATGCCTTTTACATTTGCATGGACTCTGAGAGGTATGATCTGTGAAGGCTAAATGGGATTGGAATTAGTGGAAAATAGATGGAGAAGGATTTTTTCCAAAAAATATGACCTTGTAAAATGGGCATAGAAGTGCCATACTTTTGTTGTAGTGAGCTTTTCCCCAATAATTTCCAATGTTCTTCTATAATTGGATATTAAGGTTCTTGTCTGGAACCTATAAAGCATGCTTAACACAATCTGACTGCTGGAGGTTATGATTTGAATTAGAGAAGCATAATAAGATCTGAATATTGATTTTTAGGCCCGATGAAGAACTTGAATATCTGTGAGTTAAAGTAAAATAAATCCTGAAGAATTAAGTATGACACAGCCATTTTCTTAACAGCATACTGACTGCTGGTTGACTATTTATTAAAAACCAAACCTGTTCCTCAGATTCTAGCATTTCCCATATTTTTGCCTATTGTAATGATTAAACTTGTCCTTGAGATTTGTTAAACTCGTCTGAACATCTTTATTTCACCCTTTTGAAATAATTATGCATATGAATCCTTTAAGGTACAGTCTTTACAGTTGTGCTGTTTCAATCCATAATCGAAAGTCTTGTATGTTACATACTATAATAATACAGTGCTTACAAAAGTTGGGAGGCTTTTTTCCACTGTTACAACTTGACAATAATGATTTTTTTTTTTTTCCTCTCTGTAGGGAAATTTAAATATTGCAACAGAAACTTGAACTGAGCTGTGATCCTGAAGTCGAAACAGATAACACAGCAAAGGGAGCATCTGTTCATTTTTTGACACCTTTGTCAAGACTTAAAATAGGATAAAGGAACTAACCCTGTAACTTTCTTGATTAAAAATAACTTTATTTTTCAGTAGTGGAATGCTGCAGAACTTTTTTACAGTTTTAATAATTGCTTTTAAAGTACAGTATTCAATTGAAACATTGCAGTATGTACCTTTAGTTCCTTTTACATACCAGTCTCAAGTAAAGAAGTCATTGAAGGGAGTCTTATTTATTGAATACTTTTTCTCTAAGCATGATGTTACGGATGGAACTTGAGTTGTTATACCCAGAGGTTTATATGTTGAAAGTTTATTGCCTATGTAATAAAAAAAAAGGAAAAAAAAAAAAGTGCCTGAATTGTTTGGTAATAGCACACTAGCTCAGGATTTTTCCAAGTAATGACCTTTTAGGTTGTGCAATAGATTTTACACCTCTGTTCAGTCATTTCCATAAAACAGTATTTTATATTACTTTAATAATATACTTGGGTTTCTGATGTGTATATACATTTGTAAATTGTTAGAATGCTGGGACAACTTTCAGTATTTGATTAAAATGACTGGTAACAGGCAGGTATGTAATGTGCTGTAGCAGTAGCTTATAACTGCACTGAAAGCATGCTTGGGTTTGTTAGAGGATTAGTTGGTCTGTATTCAAAATTATTCTGTCTCATTATATTTTGATGTATGACATTCTTGACCAAGCCACATGTTCTCTAATCTTTTTCGTCATAAATGATTTGGTGATTTCCTGGATTCTGAAATTGGGGCCTGAAGTATTTAATTACAAGAAAAACAAACGTAAGTTTTTATAAGCATGTCTTGTAACAAAGCTGTTCATACTTGAAACTGCTTTAAATGCAGATAGCTTGTAATTTTGTTCAAAATCCCAGTAATTCTCTGACGTTTACTGCAGTATTATGCTGTGTGCAAAACTCAAGTAGCCAGACATGTTTTATAAGCAGCTATAAACAATATTGTCCTTATTTCCTGTTTATAGCCTTTGCCTTAATGCATAATATATGATAGGGTTGTGTGTATGTATTACAGATTTGTTTGGACTTTTTATTGCTGGTAAATTAAAGATGCCTAGCAAGTAGTTTTCAGAGATGTTCTTATTTAAGAAAAAAGTTGTTCGCCATATCCGTGATATATGCAGGCTAATGTATTATCATTTCCAAGACAGTGTTAGCCATATAGAATGCAGGCTAGTCTCTGTCGTGGATAGTAGATCAGAATTCTGATACTGGGTAGAGGTATGTTCAGAGAAAAGGAAATCTGGTTTTTGGGTGGAAAGTCGGGATGTGATTTCTGCATGCTTTTTTGTAATGTTTTTTTCCACAATGCCTTCAGTAAAGAGACTATTTGAAACTGTAGGTATAGTTCAGAACAGCTAAAATAGTGTCACTTAAAATCTTCAGTTCCTGGGGTGTACTGCTTAGTGCTTGTAGGGAATAAGCAGGCAGGAAGTGTGCCACATTCATTGATGTTGGGGTCATTCAACAATAACACCAGGTGGTTTGTTTCTAAAGCCCAAGTTTTCAGTTTAAATAACAATCATTAACGATTCAACCAGTTTTTCACTAACTCTGACATGCATACACAAAATGGGAAGCTAAAGGAAAGGAATTCCTTGGTCAAATAGAGGCAGGCAACTTTCTGCAGATAAGAAAATGTTTGTTTACTTATGCTGTCAGTGATGAATCTGGCAAAATCATCCTGTGTAGATTTACTGGGAGGTGAAAATAAGGAATTTAAACAACAGGTTAAGTGAGTCAACCCGAAGCAAATGTAGAGTAGCTGCAGTTGAGTGGCCTGCTGGCAGGAGGGCGCTGCAGGTACCCTGCAGATGAGGGCAGGTTTACCTTCGAGCCGGCAAGCTATTCACACTGCTCCTGAATGTGCTAAAGCACTGTAAAACACCTAAGAAGTGAAACCATATATGATATAGGACAAACTACTGAAGCTATATTGTCTTATTCAACAGGATACTACCGTGTCTGTAAGCTTCCTGCAGTGTTCTTATTAAAGCCTGGAAGAGAACTCGTTGTTGAGCAAATGGGAAAAGTGGATACATGAAGAAACTTCTGACATGGCAGTTTTGCTAATACTGATTGGAAGTAATGCTGAAGTAGTCAGACTTCAGTCAGTTGATGCTGCTTTAACCAGGTTTAAAAGTGTGACTGGCTCCTGATTTTCTGCTTTCTTATTTTACCAGTGCATGACTAGGTATCTCTAACTTGTTTTGTACTTTAACAGTTTAGCTTTGTGTTTTTATTTCTACAACTGTGAGCAACATATTACAAACAAGGGGGTTTTTGGCATGTTTACTGACTTTGATTTCCCCCCTCCCCCTTGCCCATCCTTGGTCCCAAGATGACTGTCATGGGATGAAATGTAGTCGCTGCTTCAGTTGCGTTAGCTTTTATTTAAGGTGATACCACTTGCTCAAATCACATTCTTTACTTCACTAATTTGGGATTCTGTCATGATAAAACTTCCTATGTTTTATAGAATTCTTACAGAAATTGAATTCTGTGACTGGGTTAGGTGCTAGAGGCATCTACTCTGTGGTGTTATCTGGGGTAAGACATTACTATGTATATTTCTTTGTGAATTAGAGACTTGTGTCTATATACTTATGCACAAATCGGCTTATTTATTCTTTTAGCACAGAAAAGTTCTGTTGTGCTGGAATATAATGTTCGGTTGACAACAATGTATTGAAGTTACTGATTGGGTTGTGAAGGCACAAGAAAAAGTGTGAAGCAGAAGAAAGGTCAATTTACTTGAATAACTTGGTGCCTCTCTCTATTGTGACTGCATTGTAGAAAACACCTGTACAAAGACTTAAGTAATATCCTGATTATTGCATTTTTTTCTAATGGGAGCATGGGCTGATAAGTTGTTAAAATAACCACTTTAAATACATGTGTAAGCTGCAGCCTCAGAAGAAAGACAGTGTCTCTTGTATTAGTAAAGTCTGTCACTGCATTTGCATTGGAAGGGCAAGTTAAAAATGTGGTTGCCTAGGAGCTTTCTAGCTTTCTGGTTTATACTTTGAAAATATAAATGTGAATTGCCTTTCTTTTGGTTGACTTGAAATGACTGTTAAATGCTTATGTCATATTCTCAATTATTCACATGTAAAATTATTTTTTTAATTGCTATCCAAAATGCAATGGGTTTAATATGACTAGTCTTCCTTATAAGTGTCTGAAATAAGAAGTTGTTGTGACGTTAGCATTTATGTTGCTGATCCATTTAATCTCAGATTGGTTAGAATCCTCATTTTAAACTTTGTGATGATTGAGTTCACAAGGTTAACAAAATTCTGGGCTAGTAAGAAGCACCACATTGCAAGGCTTCTGAAAGCCTGCCTTAACTCTAGTAACTACTTACATGTTTAAAATCACCTTACCTGATGGATTTATGTCTAGGTCTCGAGACCTTCTAACTGTCTCAATTCAGGTAACTGATAGCAGAGGATGGGAGTAAATTCAGCTGATCGCCAGTTGTGATAATGGTTTACCTGCTGCCTTCTCTCCCAGGGCCTCAGGGTGAAATCCCGAATTTTCTTTATGTGAACTTAGTTGCTTTAAAAACAAAACAAAAGAGTAGATTACACTTTTGTGGCATTAAAAAAAGGCAGGGTTCTCAAAACTTGCTTGTTGTGCATTGGAAAGTCATTTTCTGCCATGTCTTGGAAGTGGATAGTGAGAGTTGCTTGGAGAAGATGATTAAAGTTTATAACAAAGAGAGACTTGATTTCTCAGTATTTACCTTAGAAGACTGTATATAGAGGGAGATCTTTAACTTCCTTGCTTTCTGAAGGGATCTTTTCCCATGCTGTGTAGAAACATGCCTCTTGCCTTTCTTTAAGCATCTGAACAGCCATCTACAAAGTTCTCTACGGGAGACCTCTCTAAAAGAAAGACTTCAGACTTGCATCCTAATGAATCTGAAAAAAAAAAAAAAGGATGTCTCTGCACATAACTCTGGCCCTTGACAGACTTCATTCCATTGCTGCAGGATTTGAAGACAGGAGGTTCTTCATCCTCCTTATGAAGGAGAAAAAAAAAAAATAACAAAAGCCATTTCAAGATCTTTGAAAGCCTACTTGTAACACTCGACTCCTTAATAGACCTTAAGGACAGTGACGAACATTTAAGTGTGTTCTGTTTCAAGCTTGGTGAGCATAAATTTTCAGTGTTAAGATCAGAGAAAACTATTGTCGTAACACCTGCCCCTCCCTTCCGTGCCTGATGGTTTTTGTTGTTGGAGGGGTTTTGGAGTAGGTATTTAGCCATGTGGTTTAATAGCTCTATGCTGCCACTTTAATACAGTTTTCTTCTGTTCACTGTTCATTGCTCTGAATTTTGTCTAAGCAGTTTAAATCTCATATTGTCTTTTTAATATTTCATTTTCTGTAAATAATGTAGTAGATGGCTTTTATTTAGTGACTGGCTTCTCTTACGTCTTTATTGTTGAGGGAAGAGACAGGGTGGAAACAGTTGTTGTTCGAGTACACTCTTCATGGACTAAAAAAAGCCTCATTGTTTTGTTTTAAGAATAGCAGGACTTCCCCATCCCCCCCCCCAATTGAATGAGGATGTGGACTAAGGTCCACTTCTAAGGAATGTAATAATGTTGACCTTATTTATACTGTAGTTTCACAAGGACCATCTAATGTGTGTATGTGCACATGTATGTACACATGCAAACCCAACATTAGAAACCTTTTTTCCACACTTAGAAATAATTACATTAGAAATGACATTTTAAACTACTGAAGATGGAGTTAAATGGAAATGCATTTTAAGTCTGTAGTCTTTGGAGTTCACAATGGTGCTTTTGACAATGTTATCCCATATCTAAAAGCCTCATTCATAAGTATATATTAAGATGTAGGCATGTTTATATGTATGTTTAACATAGTTTATATAAAATCAATGTAAATTTTGTTTCTACAGACAATAAATGTTAACAAAATTTTTACTTAAATAATTCAGTGATTTGATTCAGTAGTTATTAATATTTGATGTCATTTTCAGGGTATTTTACTTGATCTGTGTAGCCATTGAATTTTTTTTTTATATAACTGTTGCTTCTAGAACTTCATTTATTGCTGCTTTTTGAGATTAAAGTCTTGATCCACGTTCTAGGCACACCTTTTTGGCTAAAAGAAGCTCCCTTTCCAAAAACATAAAATATGAATCTCCCCTCATTGCTAGCACAAAATAGATGTTGTTTAAAAAAAACTTTGAAAGCGGGTATGTCCACCTCCTCCGCGTCATTCAAAATCCTTAGCATCTCTGCCAAATTCCGATTCTTGCCCTGTAAAGAGGCAGAATGGGGGAAGGCGCGCGCTTGCTTGGCTAAGTTACCAACATTTACATTCAATAAAATACTGTGCATTTTTAAGAATTTCCGTAATATGCTGTCATCAGTTTGAGGTGAGAATTAACCATGTTAGCTTAATACTAAGATCCCCTAATAGAGTGGTGTGAGAATGAGGCGAAGCTAGAAGAATATACTTGCAGTGTTTAATGAAAGGAAAAGTTAACTTTCCCCATTATTTACTTAAACTTGCCATAATCCAAATCTGTATCGATCTTCACCATATGAAAATAATTTTGGCTTTTTTTCGTAATTCTAATCTGGT